GCAACCCATGCTTGCCGTGAAAGGCGACTATGCTTGTCGTAAAAGGCGACTAACGGGATCGGGTGGTCAGGCTCGCTGACTTGGTTGATACATGTCATCGATCCCAAATGCGTGGATCGATGCTCATGATATCAATCACTGGATTGTCTGGTCCAGATTCGATTATTTACAGACCGCCGTCATATAGCTGGAATATTGCTGAGTGCGGCGTTAAACAACAAACAAACCAAATCAGATCACAGGAGTCTGTATCTAAAAATAGACGCCCTCATGCTTCGGGCTCGCGTGTGGAGATGGTCATGAATATGCATGAGGGCGTCTATTTTTAGATACAGACTCCTGTGATCAGATCGTCTTGACTGGGCGCCGCCATTTTGTTTGAAGCAAATGCAAGCGAGACAAGAGGTGGAATCTGATTGGTCCAAAGGAGAGGCTTGGAAGGGACATAATTCGTAATAGACACTGGTGGCGCTACGATCGAGCCCAGGAATTCCAGCCTAGTTCGGCAAGGGTGGAAATTGGACTTTTAAAGTCAGTTTACTCCCTTGCCTCGGGAAGATGACATATTCTATATTATATTTATATACTCACCGCCAAAAGATACGCAAATACCAGGTTGGTTAATATATGAAGAATTACTCATATTCAAGAGATGTTAGATTGGTTCGATCCACAATCGAACATACTGTTATGTTGTTTGAAACGCTAATGAACGCATCACATGTGACGTCATAGATCCATGACTCGAGATGCAACATTTGTCTCATGCAGGATTAGCGGGTAAAGTTTGGAAATGTCGTGCAGCATATCTTGATAAGAATAAAGACACTCTGTAGTAATACCTGACTGATTGTTAGTTCTGTCATTAAGTGGTACACATTGGAAACATGTCTCGTACATGACCGCCTCCGTGGTCTTGAGGTAGAACGTCCGTCCGGATAGCGGAACGTCCGGGGCTCGGAGTCAGTGTACTGTGTCTGAGTGGGGTATTCATGTTAAACAGCGGTATGGTTTCTCAGTCAGCTAGAACTATAAATCGGCATCAGTCCGGACGCGCACGCGCGCACGTCGCTATAAAAGTGCAAAATCTTGGACACGACGTTAAACATTTCTGTGTTAATGTTGTACATAGGTCTTGACACGTGAAGACGGCCGGGGTAGAATAGGTCTTCAGCAACCCATGCTTGCCGTAAAAGGCGACAATGCTTGTCGTAAGAGGCGACTATGCTTGTCTAACGGGATCGGGTGGTCAGGATCGCTGACTTGGTTGATGTATGACATCTGATCCCAATTGTGTGGATCGATGCTCATGATGTCAATCACTGGATTGTCTGGTCCGGACAAGATTATGTACAGACCGCCGTCATATAGCTGGAATATTGCTGAGTGCGGCGTTAACCAACAAACAAACCAAGTTCGTTGTAAGTCCTGGTAGTATATGTGTAATGCAAGTGTCTGCGAATCTGATTTGCACATCTACTTTCAATATATATTATACACCATATTTGACTATTGCCAAAGTATATTTACTTTATTTTTAAACATGTTTAAATTCTTACCGTCTTTAAACTTTAAACAAGTTTAAATTCTAAATATTTTTAAACGCGTTAAGTTCTGATCATGTTCAAACTTTAGACATGTTTAAAAACTAAATATGCTAAAACGAGTTTAAAAACAGACAATACCCCTCACTGATATTTCCCCACATGGAATATGAAAATGATCTCAACCCCAAAACAACAGTAACTGTATATACAAGTAAACAAACTATAATATGAATATTCACTAAAATGTCACCATCTAGAATCGGTCACAGATAAACACGGGTTCTAACCAAGTGTGATCTTCTTTGACACGCAATGCATGAACTGGTCGAGAGACTTCCTTCGATCAGCGTAGGCCTGGCAGAGGTTCTTCAAGCTGTTGGTTCTCTCTTGGTTGGGGTGGGGATGACCTTCATCGACTTGATGCAGTACCGTGAGGACTTGGGCAGCATCCTGTTGTAGATGTTCACTTTCCTTCCATATGGTGGGGAGATGGTGTCCTGTAAGACTGCTGCTCCGTAGATCCAACTTACGCACAGGTTGTTCGTGCGGTGACCATCCTTGAGCATAGCTTCAAATATGTTGCACAAGTGAGGGGAGTACAAGGGTTGAACACGGCGCATAAAAATTGTGTACAGATACCTTCTTTGTTCAATAGAAAAGGAAAATGTAGGAACGAAATCTTGTTTTTCACCCGTGGCCAACTGACTAATACCCATGCCAGGAATAACGCCTTCAGCAGGAGGAGGTGGTGAAGGCATCGACAGGACCCTGTGACGTAAGTGGAGTTTTGTGTAATGTTTGTGGATGAATTGGAAAAACCTACAGATCAAACAACTTGTGAGCAAGACTCGTAGGACGCTCTTTGAAATCTTGGTAGAAAGGGCATGCTCGATTGTACCTCAAAAGTGAAATGTAGACATCAAAGCTGGACCTGCTGGAGTTTTGCTCGATGCAAAGGGAAAGTTCATCATTGTCAAGTTAAAGACATCCCTCTTGTCATACAGTCTTGTGAGTGTTTTGTCACTCTGAATCTTTTTGCATCGATCTCAATATGATACAGACGAGGCGTGGTCTCACAGGTCTCCTTTATTTTAGGTGGGTAAATCAGTAGAAGGGGATTGGCTATTTGATGGTTATTGAACGATATCAGACCATCCATATACCTGAAGCTTAAGTTAACCTTACGCAAAATTACTTTGGTTTGACTTTGCCAATCGTAGCAGAAATCCACGTACTATGATATATGCGGAATCGTACAGCTGGCTAACAAGCCGTGAGATGTGTAGTAGACAATATAACATGACAACAGGAAACGGGTCCTTTCACCAGCAAATGGGTCACTGTCTTTGATTTATATCGTGAGATGGCACATGGAATTCTCGATGTTGAGTTTTGAATAAATCCACTTGGGTGGAATTGATTTCTATTGCCGTCCCTCGTTACCACCAACCATGTTCCGATGTGTGTTCAAAAAACTAGACTTTTCCATCTCCGGAATTGATCTATCAATTGTCACAGGTCACGCTGTAAAACAGGATTGTCATACCAAGTGATGAGGATGCAGGTTTGATCCAGACAAGGTTCAAGAACTCGGGATTCTGGGTACATTTCAATGTGGTGAAAAGTGTCTATTTGACTACATCACAAATTGATCATAAAAAGTAATTTTATTTTAATTTTTATTACGTGTACAATGCTGCTGTGTATATTGTGTCAACGTCGCTGTCTGTATTGCGGCATCAACATCTCTCTATGTAGTACATCAACAATGTTCTCTGTTCCGTCAATGCGATTCTGTCTGTATTATGTCATCGATGCTGTCTGTGTGACGTCAACATAGGTGTCTTTATTACGTCAACAATGCAATTATTTTTGTATTGCGACAACAATGATGTCTATATCACGTCAACAATACTGTAGAGCGCATGAAATCATCAATACGAGGGCTGGTAAAAAAGTTCTAAACCTGACTACCTTTTAACCATAACAAAGTGAACTAGGTCTAGTCAATGTAGTACAATGTTTGAGTAGTTTATTGGGTCAGGCATATACGTACTTAGGGATGCAGATTAGGGACAAACTCCAGAATGCCCATATCAAGGAAAAACTTCTGGCAGAGAACAAATGTAGACTCAAGAAAATCTGGAGGTCAGAGCTGGACGCTCGCAATAAAGTAAAAGCCACAAATACTTATGCTGTACTCATATTCTAGGTAGTACCATAGATGGACCTCTGTCTCAAAACCTCAAGCATGGCGAAGACAGTAATAAAGTGATCGAGCCACTCCATCATGTCGCTGAAGATAGTGTGTTTGTGCCAAAACCCGGGCATCCACTGACAATGTGTTTGACACATTTAACTAAATTCATTACATAATCTACATTTCATATTTACATTTTGATGCAAAATCCCACATTGACGGTTTCGAGTGGGAAGTGACTGGTCTTGAGCAGCAAACAGAAAGCCTTCTGTTTCACTTTTCAGGCCAGCCGACTTCATCCAAGCGAAGGACTCTGCAGGATTGCTGTTTGTTCTCAACACACTGCACATTAAACTCGATGCAGTGGTCGTTCAGATAGCCTCTCCTTTAAAAACCGAGTCTTGGCCAACTTGATATTGCACTTCGCTTGGTTGACACTCATTTCTGTACCGTCCAGCAGTACAGAACCATCAACAAAATCAACACTGACATTGAGACTATGTCCCACATCCTTGGCTCGTTTTAGAAAACTGTGGAATGCCGTGTTTTTATCATGAGTCTTGACATGCTTCACAAGGGGATCATCAGACAAAAAGATGTGTGCAAAAGTGCACAAGACAATTCTATCATGAAGAACCCGAACGTTAATCAAACTACGTCTTCCCATAATGATTGGTAAATATAAGCGATTGAGGGAAGAGCTATGGTGATGGGATCTGTTGTGTGACATGATTCTTCGTGTGAGGGTGTCAATACCCTGAATTTCTTATTTCGTCCAATCAACAACACCAAAAGAATATGAATTAAAGGACAGGTACAGCATAAGTTTTTGTGGGTTTAACTTTATTGCGAGCGTTCAGCTCTGAACCGTATTTCCTTGATATGGGCTTTCTGGAGTTTGTCCCTAATCTGCATCCCTAAGTACGTATAGGCCTGACCTGACACGAGATGGTCAATAACTCCTCCTCCAAGTAAACTGACTTATCCTCCCTCTTCTACCTTGCCACTTTTCAAATGAAGAACGTTGCATTTGTCGAGTCCAAAGGACATGCCGATATCATTAGAAAAGGACTCATTATTATTATTATTATTATTATTATTATTATTATTATTATTATTATTATTATTATTATGACCTGTCTATGAGCATCAACTTCGTTGTTTCATTTCTGGAAATATATTACATGCACTTATTTACATAATCATGTATTGTGAATCGTAACGTGTGTCAGCAAAGGAGAAACCTAGGTTACCTTGAAGGCTGAATGTTTTCAAAGTGACGATCGTCGTTGGGTTGTCGTATATCCAACTGCTGGTTCATACAAACACTATCCATACCTGTTTCCCCGTTAACGTTGCGTGTAGAATGTCATTATGACATTGACATCCAATAATTATTCACCTGCAAAAGGGCTGTAACGATTGAGTAAACTATCGATTCATTGCAGTTGATCGACATAAATAGTATCACAAGAGTATTTTCAACAATAGCATTGTCAAGTGAATGAGTGAATTTTTTATCACACTGTATCTGGACAAGATGGCAGATGATGAGATGACATGCAATTTAATCTCCAACAGATTAAGATATCCCGAAAAGACAATTACCAACAACATACACATATTTGAAGTCCATGTTTTATTTTTAGATAAAATACAACAAGTCCTATATCGTTTAGGGGGAGACGTGTCATCCATATTGATCAGTTTCAACCAACATTTTATTGTTTTAAGTGGTTAGAACAAAGAACAAACGTGACCTCATTCCGGATCTCACTTTACCCATCATTTCACATTTACTCTAGTCACGCGGTCTGGACTCATTTCAGTCGATGCCAACTATTTTGGAATAACTTTTATTATCAAAACGACGACAGGCAAAAATCGATATTACATTGGTGACGGTATAAACACTTCACAAGCTGAGTCCATCGTGTCACATACCTCGGGTTATTGTCTATATATTGAATATATTTTACGTTTGGTCATTATGTTATGATACTTCGGCGAAAACCTTTGTTAACATCATTGGATTATATTGAGACCAAATACGGTTTGATGTTCTGTCTAACCTGCACAGTAACTGATGCCTTTGCATGGCATTGTCACTCTTCTTGGAACTATTACTTTCCTTGAAGAGCTAGTTTTCAACAATAGCCAAAATCGATACCACGTTGGCGACGGTTTAAACACTTCAAAACTTGTGCAATCGAAATCAATATCCATCGAGGCACAGACCTCGGCTTATTGTGTTCAGTTGCTGGGACTCACGGCAGGAAGGTATGTATCGTGTGTGTGTTCCCGAAAGTAAAATTAGCACTTATTTATCTCGTATTTATGTATCAACAGCCAAGCGAAATTCTTCATCTGTATACTTATTAATTTGTTCCATTTAAACTATACCACATGATGCAGATTTAATAAAGCTCTAGGTTCATTATTTCCATTCCTCTCAAAGCTGACAGAGAAATATAGTAAATATTGAAACCTTGATGATATTAATTCATTTTACTGCTTCTCAGGTATATGTGACTAGGTGGAAATCATAAACGTATGCACAGATAGGGTATCAACAGTCAGGGAAACATAATTCAATTTTGGTTGACTACTTGAAAACGTGATTCTGCTTTACAGTGTCGCAAGATATAGTCGCAATCGTACAATTGCTTTTATTTGTTCACCTGATTGAAAGTCAAGTGAGTTTATGTTGGGGTGCGTTATATTATGTTCTGTCTGTCCTGTTGTCAGTCCGTCCGCGTGTTTTTTCAACATGTTCATTACAACTACAAGGCATATTTAAGTGAAACTTTGCATATTGAAAATGTCGTCTTTAACTATTACTAAGCCATTTCCGCATGTATAATCACACCATTGGACATGCAGCAAGTAAGTGGTATGCAGCATCAGCATATGATACGTCTTTTAAATGTACACCATTATAATAATATTGTAGGCAAAATAAAAACCATGTGTGTGTGTGCGCGCGTGCGTGCGTGCGTTCGTTCGTGTGTGAAAGATTAGTCTCGTAGGATTTAGTGTCACTGTATTGTTTATATCTCCTCTGAAATTGAAGCAAATGTACACCAGAATAATAATATTGTAGGCTTAATAAAAACCTTTTGTGTGTGCGTGCGTGCGTGCGTGTGTGCGCGCGCGCGTGCGGCGGGTGTGCGTGCGTGTGCGAAAGATTAGTGTCGCAGGATCAGTTGAAATTGGTGGTTTGTATTGATTTCACACTTGCCTTGCCCAATACCAACATAACATACTCTGCTGCAGTCACTCGTTCTGTAACAACGTCTTCTATTTCATGTCAGACTGACTTAATATGGGTCAAGTCTGAACAACCTGTTGCAACAGCTTCAATAAATCAGCCTATTTCCCTAGCCACTCAGTCCAGTGCTGGATCTCACACAGAGAGTCAGCCCGAGAAAAATTCTCAGACAGAGAGTCAGCTTGAGAAAAATTCTCAGACAGAGAGTCAGCCCAAGAATAAATCTGCAACGTCTATGTCACTACCGGACACCATTCCTTTGACAAGAAAAGAAAAAAGAAATTAAATAGAAAACCAACAACAACCGTCCCTACATGTTCAGAAGTCCCTCCACAGAACTTTTTTGGAGCTCTGGATATCGAGGTCACCCTGTCCTCACAGGACAGGCAGAGGAGTAGTTCCTCCTCACATTCACGTGAAAGATCTCCAATTGAGCCAGCATGACTCAAACGCCCAATCTAATGCAATGGAATTGCAGAGGACTTAGACATAATTTCAATGAGATCCAATTATTGATACAAGATTTAAAGCCGTCAGCACAATGTCTTCAAGAAACCTTCCTCAAAAGTACAGATACGTTTACTTTAAGACAGTACAATGATTATCATTCCTTTTCTCCTCCTGGAGATAAAGCAACAGGAGGCTCAACTATCTGGTGTGGCAGGGCATCATACATAGCCTAGTCCCCCTTAATACAAATCTTCAAACTGTTGCTGTTCGTCTGACTCTACACATTGCTTTTACGCTGTGCTCCTTATATATCCCTCCTTCCTCTGATCTTCGTCAGTCTGATCTTCAAAATCTATATGATCAACTTCCAAAGCCCTGCATTATCATGGGTGATCTGAACGGACACAATCCGCTGTGGGTAAGTACAAATGCTCATAATAAAGGAAAAATAATTGAGGATTTTCTTTCTGACAATAACCTATGTATCTTTAATGATGATTTAGCACCTATTTACATCCAGCCACTGGAACTTATTCTGCCCTCGATCTGTCACTCACAGACTCTAACTTGTATAATGAATTTGCATGGTCAGTCCATGGTGCCCTCTGTGGGAGTGATCCTTTTCCCAATATACTTAAGACTGTTAACCCTACTGATGAGCCAACGTCATCCAGGTGGAACTTTACCAAGGCCAATTGGTCCTTATACGAGGTACTGTGAACTGACAAATTAAAACATGACATTTTCAAGAATATTCCAGATCCAATACAGTTGTTTTCGGACTTACTGAATGACATTGCTGACCAAACCATTCCTAAGTCCTCTGCTAATTCCCATATTCGTAAACCATGGTTTACAAATGACTGCAAACAGGCCAGAAAGTGTAGGAAGAAAGCAGAAAAATATTTTCGCCGACATCCTACAGTCGATAATTTGGATAGGGTTAAAATTACAAATGCCAAGGCACGACATGCTTTTAAACAGAATAAGCGTCAATCTTGGAGGAACTATGTCTCCAAAAATAAATTCCCGTACGCCCATGTCCAAGGTGTGGAACATGGTTCAGAAAATAAAAGGCAAAGGCTCAAAATCTTCTGTTCAGCATCTTAAGGATGGTGATCAATTATTAACTAATAAAACTGAAATGTAAATAAACTTGGAGAAACGTTAGCCAAACATTCTTCATCATCACATTATGTCCCGGAGTTTAGAAAATATCAGAAACAACAGGAAAAGAAAAAAGTAAATTTTAATTCGGACAATGGTGAAGACTATAATGAAGTATTTTCATTACATGAGCTACGTACTGCCCTTGGGCAAGCTCATGATACAGCAACAGGAGATGATAATATCCATTATCAGCTCTTGAAACATTTGCCTGAATCATGTCTCGAAACCCTTTTAGACATTTTTGACCAGATATGGACTTCAGAGAATTTCCCTGCTTCGTGGCGTAATGCCATTATTGTCCCCATACCAAAACCTGGCCGGGATCATACAGATCCCTCAAATTATCGCCCTATATCGTTAACCAGTTGTGTCTGTAAAACCATGGAGCGAATGGTAAATAACAGATTAGTTTGGTATCTGGAAACAAACAATCTTATTACTAATATTCAATTTGGTTTCCGGAAAAAAAAGAAGTACTATAGATCATTTAGTACGGTTAGAATCGTTTGTGAAAAATGCTATAGTAAATAAACAACACGTAGTATCAATATTCTTTGGTCTAGAGAAAGCATACGATACTACCTGGAAGCAAGGCATTTTACAAGATCTACATGATTTTGGTTTGAGAGGTCGTCTACCTCATTTTATATCCGTGTTTTTAACTGACAGGCAATTTCAAGTCCGTGTGGGCTCAACCCTGTCTGACCCTTATAATCAGGACCACCCTTGCCCCCCGCTCGGCATAAAGGGGCTAAAATAAGGACTGGTCGGCTCGGAGTCAGTATACTGTGTCTGAGTGGGGTATTTATGTTAAACTGCGGCATGGTATCTCAGTGAGCTAACACTATAAATCGGCATCAGTCCGGACTAGTACAAGCAGCCACACACACACACACACACACACACACACACACACACACACACACACACGTGCATTCACGTCGCTATATAAGTGCAATAATCTTGGACGCGACGTTAAACCCAATTTCACCTCACCTCACCTCACCTCACCTCACCTCACCTCACCTCACCTGAAATCTTCGTAGGAAGCTCATGTTCGATTACACTCCAAAGTTGTGAAATGAAGACGAATTAGAAAGATACAAGTAAAAGGTACGACACCGTATCCAGACAACTACTAGTATATAAACTAAAATAACCATAAAAAAAACATGTAATTTGAACAATATTTTCTATTCATTATACAGACTAATTAGTATTCTAAAATCAGATACCCGCTTCCCTGGGTAAATACATCCTTTAGACTTGCTGCTTCATAACAAGAATTAACTAAAATGTCAGTTTTGTCAGCTTGAATCCCATTTGAAGAAATGGAGTTTTTCTTTCTTTGTTTAAGTCTAAATGTTCCTTTCAACCATGAAAATAAACCCATAGAAAGTCTATCATGGTTTATCGGCGGCATTTCAATATATAATGTCTTCCATCGAGATACTCCTGCCAGGAATTCTGCAAGTTCCCTGAAAGACACGAGTTGTAGCGAATAATTCCCATTCGTCAACATTTGAATATTCATAAACTCCACGTTGGTTTAAAACGTTAATATATAGATTACTAGCCACTGTTGCAGCATTCTGGTTTTTATGTATGCAATAAGCTGAAAAAAGTACTACGGTTGATGGGTTAAATTAAATTAAATTTCTGTTGTTTCTCTGATCACACACGATCACGATTACGTGTTGTGTGCTGGGAGTTTAAACTTCAAAAAGCAAACTACTGCAAACATCAATCTCATTAAATTCAGATCTTAGTTTTCGCTACCGCTAAACAAAGAACTGATGACATCCTATTACGGGTCACGTCAGATGGATTCCAGGTGGCCAAGATTGTATGGATATAATCATAAAACCCGTAACTGTCGTTCGGAATACCCTCTGGAAAATATTTCGAGGTTGCATGATTAGAAAACACATTCCTTCTGTCACTTTCATGATCTGGTAGCGACGCTCTGATTGGTTGGATTAAAGGTCGTTCTGACGTGACCCGTAATGGGATGTCCTCAGATCTTAGTTCTCGCTATTTTAATGAGATTGCTGCAAACAGGAGATCTGAACTGTACAGACTTAATAAAGAGTGTAAAACTTGACCATAGACATATAGGGAAATCGATTACCCATTTTTGAAGATTATCCTAAGGTAATGATATCCGCATATCCTCCACGGATTAACAAATGAGAGACTATGGCCGTTTTATAAAAATCAAATTATGTCATTTTTTTTTCTTTTTACAGATTTACCCCTGAACGTTAATAGGCAAAACTTGTGGTCATCATGGCAGAGAAGGCTCATGGTAATGTGGGAACACATCTATTATATCACAAAATGAGCGACATAACCCGTTCCATAATAAAAAAAAAAATCTCCATTGTACGATTCCGACTATGTCATAAGCGTGTGTTTATAAATCACTATCAAATTGTGATGAAACCAAGTGGTCGCGGAAAGGTAAGCGTATCCTGCCCCACCGTTGTCACCCGTCACAAACACATGCAAAGGCAAGTCAGTTGTTCACCTGCGTAAACATTGGACCATATGGTCTGTGTGTAACTATACCTGTTACATGTTTATTGTATTGCATGACCTGGCCTAATTTCAAGCAGGTTCTTTATATGTTAACAGAGAAGCTCAAATTTCTCTGCCAGTCCCATCAGCATCTTCTGTCACCAAATGTTTAAGTTTGGACGGAGAAAAATGAAGTAAAGTGGGATTTTTTGTGTATATTCTGCCGACGCTGGCTAGACTATGTCTCAAATGTTTGTAAATTTAAAAATGAATACATAAACAATGTTTGTCATTCATATCCAATCTTAGCTCAAATATAAGTACGTGTTTTATTTTCAAACTATAAACGGTCGTCTTTTTATGTAACGTCTAAGGCGCCGCGATTCGCTGTACAGAGTTGCGTCCCTTGGGCACACAAGAAACCTATGATTGTTGGTTCGAATTCCGGTTCGTCCCGATTATGTTTCTAGGTTTGTCAGCACCATACCCGTGCTCGTGGGTTTCACCGAAGTGGTAAACGTCTGAGACCTGCATCACTTCGGGTTTTCCTCCCACATTAAGCTGAGACGCCGCGATATAACTGGAATACTGTTACAAGCGACGTTAAACCCAACTCACTCACTCACTCTACTTTCGGAATGTAGCTGAATTCTATTGTTGAATACCACTGGTATGAAGCAGAATTTGAGTTTTGACTAATTCATCCAAAACAAATCAGCAATGTCAGGATACATGTATTTAACCGTATTCATGTGTACTTATTTATATTAACTATAGCTAATCCTACTGCTATCTAATGTGTGTAAACCTTTTATTACCAGAACAGGATAGTGCCCGTGTAGTCACGGACCTCCATTACGCCTGTCAAGTGGGGGATATGGAGGCAGCGAGACAGTTTCTGTCTCTTGGTGAGGACATCAACGGGAGAGGTGAGTTGGGGATGACACCACTGATGTTGGCAGCAAAGTATGGACACAAAGAACTGTTTGACCTACTTGTGAGTAAAGGAGCTGATCTCCGACTAAAATGTATTAATGGTGACACTATCCTTCATCAGGCGTGTAGTGTGGATGTAGAGATAGTGAAGTATGTCCTTTCACAGGACGTTGTGGACATCAACAGTAGAGGATCTGACGGGATGACCCCAATGTTGTGGGCAGCAGTGTTGGGAGACACGAAAGTGGAAGTTGTAGAGTTTCTCGTGGCTCAAGGCGCGGATGTGTCACTTGTAGATTATAAAGGTAACACTATTCTTCACCTGGCTGCTGATAGACAATCTGGGGAGCTGATTGACTACATCCTCTCACACGACATGGTGGACATCAACGCAAGGAACAACGCTGGGAAAACAGCAGCCATGATAGCGAGACGATATGGTCTTACATTTAATCCAGCATATGAAGTCCTTGTGTCACGAGGATGTCACATTGAGTGACGTGTTCACCGTGAAAGGCTTTATGATATCAAATAGTATTAGTTAACACAATGGCTTAGCTCGCAGATTAACAGTCAAACATTACAATGTAAATATTTTTGATATGACCTCCTTATACATGTATCATAATGGTAAGTTTAATTTTGACTGAAGGAGAGCGCGTATTGGTTTCTCAAAACATTTGGAGTTGAAATGAAATGAAATGAAAGTAACTTAATCCGGACATGTTTTAACCAATCCCCTGTCTCATTCTGTGATTTGGTCATGTTTCCTAATGTAGATAATCCATTCAATTTGTTCATTTTGTTTTTGAAAGACGTAAAATGTTTAGGGGAAATATATCTCCTTTCGATAAAGTAAACCGGTCTATATTTTGTAAGAATAAACTATTGCGCGTTGAGCGATTATCTCCTTTAGCTGTATGGTAGTTATGGTATAGAGCTTTATTAAGCACTCACCTAGCAATGCTGAACATTGTATCTTATTCAAGCCGTATCCTTGAGAGTGAGTGATTATCTCCCTTGCTTGCGGTGCACAGTTGAGCACAGTATTGTTTCAAGTAGTTCACTGTATGTAATGTATGATTCATACCGTTTCATGCGGCGGTTTACGGTTCTGCATGGTTTATTGCTTTGACAGTTTTTTCAACTTCCGATAGAGATTTTACAACCGCATATGTGCTTTCCTTCTGGATACATAGGAAATCAACAGGTTGGACTGTACTTTGCAATTATTTTCCTAAAAAATAATATGGTTGCATGACATATTCACGTTGTTTTGGGTTGAACATAGTCACATTCTTCTTAACATACTTCAAATTTAAACTGGCAGTAATCACAGCACAAACCCAGCTAACCAAACGGAACCGTACACAAGAGTAGTGAGTGAGTGAGTTGGGTTAAACGCCACTTTGAATATTCCACTTATATCACGGCGTGTCAGCTTGACGTGGGTGGAGTGCCCGAAGTGATGCAGGTCTCAGACGGTCACCACTTGATGAAACTCACGAGAACGGGTGTTAATGCTGACAACATAATCGAGGCAAACCGGGATTCGACCACACTGTCATAGGTTTCTGCCGTGCCCAAGGGACACAACTCTGCATAGCGAATACAGCGCCTTAGGCGATTGGGCCAACCGTGCCCCCGTACACAACTGTATCAAACTATCATACAACAAAGATGTTTTAGATGAGATATGTATTGTGTAACATTCCATGAAGAAACAGTGGTCGCATAACACTATCACAAACTTGAAAATATATGCACAATAAGTGCAAAACACACAGGTACAAGTGTATTATAATGGTATGGAGACACTATGAGAACTGAGCAAAACTATGGTAATGTTTGAACATACAAGGAATTTGTTTATAATTGTAGATATGATAACCGATCTTGGAAATTGTTTCTGTATAACTGTTGGTAAAAATGATTAAGAAATGTTCCTTTTAACAGAGTGTACCAAATTCTTTATGATGATTGAGGATTATTTGTGATTCTCTTTCTTGGTTGTATTTTATACAAGACAGTGCGTAATGTTGTTCATCTTCTGAGACATCACATGTTTCACAGATACGTTGTTCCAATGGGTTAGTGTTTTTGTATATCTACCAGTTTATTTTTTTTAGTTTGTGATTACCTAAACGAAAGTTTGAGAAATGTGACTTATAGCGCTTTGTTTTTACAATATGTAAGATAATTATCAATATTTATAGAGGACTTGACCAATACAGCTGTATGTATGTTCTTAACTTGCTGTTGGATAGATAGGAATCCCTTATTGAATGCGTGAACATATTTTTACAAATGGACTGAAGATTATTTACAGTGGATTCATTAAAAAAAAATGTGTTTACTATTTCAAAAGATTGGTTTATTTAATGCAGCCAACAATTTGACCAGAAAGATTGATATTTGCTGCCAAAGCATGTTTTCAGAATGATATTTCTTGTGTTATCTACATAGGACTTGTAACAAATTATTTTGACAGGCCCAGCTATGCGCTTTCTTGCCTTGGTTTTCCTTGTGCTGACCATTTAAAGACATTGTTTCTTTTATTGTGATTTTCAAAGATAACTACATTAATAACAGCCAATTTGTACTTTACTCCAGTCCTCTCGTCCCATAACTTACACTTCCTTCCTCTGCATATGGCATTATATGGCGGTGAACAATTGATGCTCTGCAGCAATCTCTACTTGTTTGTACTGGTATGGTGGGTCAGACAATATCTCGATACATCGGGAAACATTACAGCTATTACCTGAAGCGCTCGTAAAATCTCTAACGTCCTCATTATATAAAATACTCGTCAGAAGAGCAACGTTTTGCACAGGACCCGAGATCTAGATGCAAGTTCTTATCAGAATCGGATACTGGTGATACATGATGGTGATACATGGCTGAACGTTTGTGAGTGAAAAAGGTAAAACTGTGACCCGTATGATTTTATTGATAACATGTGACAATATATAGATAATTACTAACCGCCTAACGATACGCGAATACCACACACGTAGGTTAATATATGAAGACTTACTCATATTCAAGAGATATTAGAACACCTTTCTCAATGTGGTTCGCGTTTCTTTTCTTTTTTTCTTCTTTATTTTTTTGCTGTGGCACATAGATCTCCATTTATACTTTTCTGCATGAATGATTGAATCAGTCATTGTTTGACATATTCTCATCTTCCCAAGGCAAGAGAGTTAACTGACTAAAAAAAGGCCAGTTTCCACCCTTGTCGAAGTTGGCTGGCATTATGGAGATACATTTTGGCTGGACTAACGAGTCTATGCATTCCAATAAAAATCGCACAATAAAATCGAAATCCGGTTTGTAAACTGTCATGCAGATTTCGGTCGATTGAAGGATTTGCAAAGCATGTGCACTGCCAACTTGGCGTCAACAGATATTTTTTCAAATCTTTTCATGTTTTTAAGTAAGGTGCTCACGTGATTTGGTGCGCTACGCGATGTAAGACCCGTTTATCACAATATAGATCTTGGTTATCCAACAGATCGTCTTGACTGGGCGCCGCCATTTTGTTTGAAGCAAATGCAAGCGAGACAAGAGGTGGAATCTGATTGGTCCAGAGGAGAGGCTTAGAAGGGACATAATTCGTAATAGACACTGGTGGCGCTACGATCGAGCCCAGGAATTCCAGCCTAGTTCGGCAAGGGTGGAAATTGGACTTTTAAAGTCAGTTTACTCCCTTGCCTCGGGAAGATGACATATTCTATATTATATTTATATACTCACCGCCAAAAGATACGCAAATACCAGGTTGGTTAATATATGAAGAATTACTCATATTCAAGAGATGTAAGATTGGTTCGATCTACAATCGAACATACTGTTATGTTGTTTGAAACGCTAATGAACGCATCACATGTGACGTCATAGATCCATGACTCGAGATGCAACATTTGTCTCATGCAGGATTAGCGGGTAAAGTTTGGAAATGTCGTGCAGCATATCTTGATAAGAATAAAGACACTCTGTAGTAATACTTGACTGATTGTTAGTTCTGTCATTAAGTGGTACACATTGGAAACATGTCTTCTTAACGTACATGACCGCCTCCGTGGTCTTGAGGTAGAGCGTCCGTCCGGATAGCGGAACGTCCGGGGCTCGGAGTCAGTGTACTGTGTCTGAGTGGGGTATTCATGTTAAACAGCGGTATGGTTTCTCAGTCAGCTAGAACTATAAATCGGCATCAGTCCGGACGCGCACGCGCGCACGCACGCACGTCGCTATAAAAGTGCAAAATCTTGGACACGACGTTAAACATTTCTGTGTTAATGCTGTACAAAGGTCTTGACCCGTGAAGATCTGGAGTAGAATAGGTCTTCAGCAACCCATGCTTGCCGTAAAAGGCGACAATGCTTGTCGTAAGAGGCGACTATGCCTGTCTAACGGGATCGGGATCGGGTGGTCAGGATCGCTGACTTGGTTGATGTATGTCATCTGATCCCAATTGTGTGGATCGATGCTCATGATGTCAATCACTGGATTGTCTGGTCCGGACTCGATTATTTACAGACCGCCGTAATATAGCTGGAATATTGCTGAGTGCGGCGTTAAACAACAAACAAACCAAGTTCGTTGTAAGTCCTGGTGGTATATGTGTAATGCAAGTGTCTGCGAATCGGATTTGCACTTTCAATATATATTAGACACCATATTTGACTATTGCCAAAGTATATTTACTTTATTTTTAAACATGTTTAAATTCTTACCGCCTTTAAACTTTAAACACGTTTAAGTTCTAAATATTTTTAAACGCGTTAAGTTCTAAACATGTTTAAACTTTAGACATGTTTAAAAACTAAACATCCTAAAGCGAGTTTAAGTTCTAAATACGTTTAAAAACGGACAATACCCCTCACTGATATTTCCCCACATGAACTTTTCCCCACTCGGACAATACCCCTCACTGATTTTTCCCCACATGAACTTTTCCCCACTCGGACAATACCCCTCACTGATATTTCCCCACATGGACTTTTCCCCACTCGGACAATACCCCTCACTGATTTTTCCCCACATGAACTTTTCCCCACTCGGACAATACCCCTCACTGATATTTCCCCACATGGACTTTTCCCCACTCGGACAATACCCCTCACTGATTTTTCCCCACATGAACTTTTCCCTACTCGGACAATACCCCTCACTGATATTTCCCCACTCGGACAATACCCCTCAATGATATTTCCCCACATGGACTTTTCCCCACTCGGACAATACCCCTCACTGATATTTCCCCACATGGACTTTTCCCCACTCGGACAATACCCCTCACTGATATTTCCCCACATGAACTTTTCCCCACTCGGACAATACCCCTCAATGATATTTCCCCACATGGACTTTTCCCCACTCGGACAATACCCCTCACTGATTTTTCCCCACATGGAATATGAAAATGATCTAAACAACAACAAAAACAGTAACTGTATATACAAGTTAACAAACTATAACATGAATATTCACTAAAATGTCACCATCTAGGATCTGTCACAGATAAACACGGATTCTAACTAAGTGTGATCTTCTTTGACACGCAATGCATGAACTGGTCGAGAGACTTCCTTCGATCAGCGTAGGCCTGGCAGAGGTTCTTCAAGCTGTTGGTTCTCTCTTGGTTGGGGTGGGGATGACCTTCATCGACTTGATGCAGTACCGTGAGGACTTGGGCAGCATCCTGTTGTAGATGTTCACTTTCCTTCCATATGGTGGGGAGATGGTGTCCTGTAAGACTGCTGCTCCATAGATCCAACTTTCGCACAGGTTGTTCGTGCGGTGACCAGCCTTGAGCATAGCTTCAAATATGTTGCACAAGTGAGGGGTGTACAAGGGTTGAACACGGCGCATAAAAATTGTGTACAGATACCTCCTTTGTGCAATAGAAAAAGAAAATGTAGGAACGAAAATCTTGTTTTTCACCCCTGGCCAACTGACTAATACCCATGCCAGGGATAACGCCTTCAGCAGGAGGAGGTGGTGAAGGCATCAACAGGAAGAATTCTTTGTTGGAGAAGAACTTCGCATCTCAAAAGACAGTGAAACCCATCTCCTAGTTGACGAAGTCTTTCTTCTCTTGGTATATTCTGCCATCAGCCAGTCTCAACGGGCAGGTCGTGATTTGGAGTACGAAATTTTAATATCGGCATGTACTTGCCTTTAGGGAGCAACAGATAATTTTCAAAATTTGGATTTTGCTTATAGTGTTTATAATATATACTCTTTGTACTCGACTCCATACCTTCCCTCCTCTTTTGTATAAACTGATCCTTAAGTATCTGTTCGACCGTTGAGACCAGCCTATTTGTAGAGCATATGCATGGTTTATGAAATATTGCACTCAGTCCAAAATCATTTTGTATGTTATGAACACACACAATCCATGGGAAATTAGTTTTGTATTCCAATGCCTTTGAGATCATGTAGCAGTACAAAAAATGGTTTAGCTGGTTTTGAATTCCTTGAATAAGTTTCACGAACGAGAGACATTCTGCGCTACCGCAAATCCAGTCATTGACATCATAAGCGTTAATCCACGCAATTGGGATACATGCTTTAACCAAGCAAGCCTGACCACCCGATCCCGTTAGTCGCCTCTTACGACAAGCATAGTCGTCTTTTAAGCTGGCCTGACAAATCACCAGGCATGTTCCCCATAGAGCTTCTGTGGGTCGTTCCCGGACTCTAGAGAACGCCAGGAATCCAACGCCAGCCAACATGGCCCAGTTGGGTAGCCCTTTAGGGGGAATGGCTTGTAATTCCAAGAGCAACATTAAGTGGCATTAAACCTGACTCACTCACTTGCGTGTCCTCATTTTATGTTGGTAGTATATATTTGTAGGATTTAAACACTGTATTTAGATGCATCACTTCGGGCTTTCCTCCCACATTAAGCTGACACGCCGCGATATAACTGGAATACTGTTAAAAGCGGCGTTAAACCCAACTCACTCACTATATTTAGAACACACCACACACACACACACACACACACACACACACACACATAAGAACATATAAATACATATATGCAATTGGATTTTTTTATTTATTCTAACAGCGTATCTGTAAATAAAGAATATTATGGACATAGTAATGTTTGAGTATTTATAGTCGTTTGACAATACTGTAATGACAATGTTATAACGACAATACTATAATGACAAGACTATAATGACAATGTTATAATGACAATGTTATAATGACAATACTATAATGACAATACCATAATGACAATACTATATAATGACAATGTTAAAATGAAAATGTTATAATGACAATACTATAATGACAATACTATAATGACAATGCCATAATGACAATACTATATAATGACAATACTACAATGACAATACTATACTGACAATGGTATAATGACAATGTTATAATGACAAAACTATTAATGACAATACTATATAATGACAATACTATAATGACAATACTACAATGACAATACTATAATGACAATACTATATAATGACAATACTACAATGACAATACTATACTGACAATGGTATAATGACAATGTTATAATGACAATACTATAATGACAATACTATATAATGTTAATACTATAATGACAATACTACAATGACAATACTATAATGACAATACTATATAATGACAATACTACAATGACAATACTATACTGACAATGGTATAATGACAATGTTATAATGACAATACTATTAATGACAATACTATAATGACAATACTATATAATGACAATACTATAATGACAATGGTATAATGACAATACTATAATGACAATTGTATAATGGCAATGTTATAATGACGGTGTAGCTTGATACCGGCGGCAAACCATGACAAGTCGACAACAGGTGGGAAACAACAAGTGAGTAAATGAGTGAATATCATTCATCAGATTCAATATGTTTCAGGAAATTCTGATTATCGTAACAATATATCTGCCAGCTATATGCATA